TCAGAGCCCCCTGCCACACCCCCAAAGCTCTCCTCCTCAGCCCCACCCCGGAGCCCCCTGCTCTAGTCACAGTCTGCTGGGTCGCGGGAATCAACAATTTTCTTCAATTGGGTTACAAGGGGGAAAAAAAGTGGGAAACCCGCTGCGGTGGAGCAGGTGCGAAGTGCATGGGAGGCAGCCACGCTGGCTGTTTCTGCCTCACGTCAAGGGGGTACGTGGTGTGACACCGTCGGTGATGTCTGCACCGGAGTGGCCCAGCAGCGGCAAAGCAGGTCAGGGCTGCAAAGCAGGCGAGAACTGCTCAGCACTTGGTGCTCCGGCCCAATTACCAATGGGTTCGCTCGCAGGTCCGGCCCTACGGGTGGGCGACTGCCCAGGGCTCCATGGGTGGGAGACAGGGGAGGACACTATCAGTGCTTAACTTGCCACGGGGCTGAGTCAGAAGCTGCTGCGTTCCAGCTGCCGTGGCCACGGGGGGAGGAGCGGGGTGGGCCTGCCCTGGGGTGCCACGGGAGGAAGCTGAGGGCAAATGGGGCGGTCGTGGGGGCAGTGAGCCTTGGGAGGAGCCGCAGCAGGGGCTGTGGCGATGCCAGGCTATGTCAGGAGGCAGCAAGGGCATGAAAGTATAAGTCTGACAGGGCACCGACTTCCTAGTTTAATACGGCGCAAGGGTGTGAGGAGGTTCCTCCTACAGCCCAGGGATGGGCCACAGAAATGGGGCGGCTCCCTCAGGCCAGCGGGTGACGCTGTGCCACGTGGTCTTTGGGGCAGCGAGCCGGCGAGGCGCCTTCTCTTGCGCCGTGATCGACGGAGGCTGTGGGAGAGGGTGGTTCAGCTCCTGCCTCGGCCTCGGACGCTTGGCCCCCTAACATGCCGCCTTTACTTCTGCGCCACTGATGGCCCTGGCGCTGCCTTCAGAGTCGGGGCCCTGTCCAGCAGCCATGCCTCTGGGCCCGCTGCGGTCAGGAGGGAAGGACTGGACCGGGTCTGAGGTGCAGGGTGTGGAAAGGAGCGCAGGGGAAGAAGAGGGTCACCGGAAGGATGGGGGGAGGCAGCAGAGGCTACAAGTGGTGCAGGGAGGGAGGGGGACACAGCAGGAGACAGGGGCCCAACATTCGCCCAGCTGGCCATTTTCCCTAAGGGCAGCCCAGGTAGCAGGTGCAACTGCCGCTTAGCTGCTCCTGTGCAGAGGAACGGCCTCGCTGGGGCAGAGCAAAGGTCCATCCAGCCCAGCGTCCCGTCCTCCAACAGCCCCAGTGCCAGGTGTCCCAGAGGGAGTGAACAGCACAGGGAACCCTCACGTGATCCCTCCCCGGGCGCCCGTTCCCAGCCTCTGGCAAACACACTGGGGCCACCATCCCTGCCCATCCTGGCTAATGGCCATTGACGGACCCAATCCTTCATGAGTTTTATTTCTACTGCTCTGAGGTGCTCGACGGGTTATTTATACCGGTGACACCGCTGATCACCCGCTGACCTAACAGAGCCCACATGAGCCAGCCCTGTTTCCTTCCCTGCAGCCTGTAGTGCAGCGCCAGCTACACCCTCTTTGCTGGCTTTAGTATCTGCTCTACACTTCATCTTAGCATAGGGGGGAGCTGAGGTGGCAGCTGCTTTTGTGCCCTGGGGCTGACGGACTGCTCCCACTGGGTTAACCAGGGGGCAGGGGAAGAGAGCCGGAATCCCAGCTTGAGATGCGCTCCCTTCTTGTTAACTCCGTTTGTTCTGTCTGGAACTTTTCTGGGCGTCTGTTTGGATTCCCGCTGGCTGGCTTCGTTACCACTTCCCTGTGGGGCGCCACTGGCCTTTTGGAACAGGCGAGCTTCAAGGGAGAATGGAAGGAGGAGGCTGCTGAGGCATGATGGAGCAGGTCGGAGATGGGATTGGGAGGTACCGGGAGGAGTGCCAACAGATGAATCCAGACGGATGACAAACTGACCAACTTTTGGTGGCTGCAGGTGCATAGAGAAGGGATCTGGAAATCAGTGTGTGGCTGTGTCCAGACTACACAGCTGTTCTGGAAAAAGCTACGCAAATTGTGAACCGAAATTTGCGTATCTTTTTCCGCTTCTTTTTTCGGAAGAGGCTTTTCCGACATTTGGCCCATCTACACTGGGCCAAATGTCAGAAAGAAACCCTTTTCCAGAACGTCCCTTCTTCCTTGTATAACAAGGTTTACAGGGATGCCAAAAAAATGCATCTACTCTGCCGAAAAAAATGTGGAACACCAGATGCATTCCTTGGACACAGCAGAGTTTTTCCGGGATACCTCCAGTATTCCGGAAAAACTCTACAGTCTAGACATACCCTGTAAGAGAAACACCCACAAAGACATTGGCTTGGAGCCAGGTCTGGGAAGAGCAATGCCAATAAGGGATAGAGTAAAGAAAGATGAGAGTCTGTTGTCAGGAGAGCTAGTCCTGAACTTGGCCAAACTGACTTGTTGCTATTTTCAGCAGCCAAGCAAGTTAGACAATTCATTTCCAATGCTCCCTTTTACCCAGGTGATGTGCCCCTCAATTCTTCCTGCCCCGTATGTTGATAACCTACTACTACGAGCTGCGCCTGAATTCATAACAGGTGGTTGGCTCATTAAGTGTGCTTTATGCATACAACACTGTTTTGCTCAGTGTAATTGCAGATTCCATATAAATAATTCACAGGGAATTATTATACTAAGGACGTCACCCGCCTCCTTATAATTTGCTTAACTGAAATAGGCTCTTTCATCATTTTGCACTGATTTGCTTTAAGACCATGTACACAGCATCATTTCCAGGCAGGCTTCAGGGAAGCTTGCTTAAATTTAATTAAGTTATGCAAATTATTTGTCCACTACGTGGCGAGCCCAGTGTGGACACCACTACGAGATGGTATTTAAGGGGGAGCAAACTGGAGCTTGAAGGCCAGGGCCTTTTGGAACAAGTGGATGAATAGTGACAATATTATCTTACCTTTCAGACCGACAGCGGTTCCAGTGCTCTTTGCTAACGGCAGATGGGAATCACGGCTGCAGTGGAGTTATTATGGATTTGCTTTGCAGTCGTGCCTACTGGCCTTAGCTGAGATCAGGGCCTCACGGTGCTAGGAGCTGCACAAACACATAGTGAGAGATGGGCCCTTTTGAGTTTACAGGCTACATAGAGGGAAAAGGAGATGGGGGGGAGAGGAAGGATTATTCTCCCGTGTAAAGATGAGGCAACAGGCCCGGAGGCACAGATTCTCCAAGGTACACTCATGGCCACTGAAATCAGCAGCTCTGAGCCCCCTGGCCTGTGCAGGAAGGCTAAAGCAAGAGCCAAGCGTGGGACTCAGCGGCAGGATGCCTGGATCCTGCTGCTAACTCACTGTGATCTGAGCCATTCACTTCTCTGTGCCTCAGTCTGCAAAGCGAGGAGACCGGTCCTGCCTCCCCATGAAGGCTGAGCCCACACTGTGTAAGGCACTGAGCACATGTATTGTTCCATGTGGATCCAGTGTTTTATGTTAAGTATTCCTCTTCCTCCCTTCCTTAGACGGTTGGTGCTGTTGCACAGCCCCAGTGTGCTCTGCCCCAGAGATAGCTGCATTTCCGTGGTGGGTGAAGTGACCCTTCTGGTCTGTGACCCAAAGAGCCCCTGGGCTCCCTGCTGCCTCCACTGCTGGAGCAGTAGCGGCCGCCGGGCAGCACTTGGAGCTGAGCGGGGAGGTGCTGCACACTGGGCATGGGGAGGGCTTGCTGCCTCCAGCCCCGCCCCTTCTGCCCGAGGCTCCACCCCTTGACCCAAAGGTCCCTCCTCTTCCAAGAGCTCACAGTCAGCTCTCCTGTGAATAACTATAAGACCCTCCCCAAATACACCAAGAGCAACACCAAAGAGCAGAGCAGGACAGTCCACCCTTAGGTGGACATTTCTCCTGTCTGTTTTTATCCTGCTCGTTCTCCCCTGAATGGGCAACCTGGCCAGACCCTCCCCACCCCTCACATGAGGACACTGGTCGGTACTTGAGGTTGCAGATTGTCTCACTGGGGCGAGTTTAACGCTTGTCGCTCGGGGAGAGCTGGCTTTGCAGGTCAACTCCTAACAAGGCAACGCAGCTTTGCTGGCCCCCAGATGTCCCTGAGGGGGAGGCGTGTGCTGGTCACGTGACTGTGGCGCTCCTCGTGGTTGGGTGGTAGGGCGGAGGTGCAGCCACAGAGCTGTCGGAGTAGGACTAGAACAGTGAAGGGGGGCGCCCATCGGGACTGAATTCTAGTGGCAGGACTGGGTGGTGTTGCTTACCTCTTGGCACCCATGGGAGCACAAGAGACCTGCCCTGGCGCAGCCCAAAGTCCCTCATACCCTAATTTCCGTGAGCTCTAAGATTCAGCCCCCGCACTGAGCGAGAGGGGTAACATTTGGCACCGTCTGCTCCCTTTCTGCCATGGCAATCCCTTTATGTGGGTTGGAGATATTTCTCCCTCACAGCAAGATGCCACACAGGCGCCAGATCTGCACAGAGGCCTGAGCGAACAGTCACCTTATCTTGTTGTAGCAGGCAGGCCTACGTGGACCGTCCCATTGAGAGCACCAGGAATTCATACCCCACAGCTGGATCGCCTCCTCCGTCACCCCCGACTTTCAAGACTGTAGTTACCATGGCAGATTGGCTGCTCACTCTGATAAGGGAGACAAAGAAACTTAAATGGTTCTTTGCTATTCAGCGGCGCTCGCAGAGATGAGGCTGGCGGCGGCTGGGCAGAAAGGGCCGTTCTAGTCCTTTCCTCCTCCTTGTCTCCCTCTATTCCTTGGACTTTATCACAGATTCTGGCTGCTGAGCAGGTTGATGTGGGCCAGCCAGAGCATGGGTGGGCAACACATTCATTTTTCTGGGTGCCGGGGCGAACACCCCTTGACCCTAGGCACAGGGCCTATGGGTGCGTTTCAGCAGCTCAGTCTGGAATTCCCTCAGTCAATGTCCCCACGTCACATGTAAATGGGTCACCACCAATTTCTTCATTCATGTGAAAGGGAGGAGCAGACCCTCCTGGGTCCCTGTGGTGGGGGAGAGGACAAGAAAGGCAACTGGACTGTCCCTTCAAATGGACACGGGTCCCCCTCCTGCTTTTTAGAGCACACGTAATGGAAGGGCGCCCGAGAGTGCTCGTCACATCAAGCAAACTATCCAAACCTGTCTCCCATAAAGACAGACACTAGATCAGGGGTTCCCAACCTTTTTTGGTCCCCGTACCCCCTTGGCTTTTAGTAAACGTGTCACTTTCTTCTTCACACAGTGTTTAGTCAACCTGTGGAACTCCTTGCCAGAGGAGGCTGTGAAGGCTAGGACTAGATTCATAGATTCATAGACTTTAAGGTCAGAAGGGACCATTAAGGTCAGAAGGGCTTAGGGTTAGTCAGACTTTTGCCCGAACGGGAGCAGCATAGTATTTCCGCAAGAAGCACTGATTTCAGACAGTAGGAAGTCAGTGCTTTTGCGGAAATTCAAGCGGCCAGTGTAGACAGCTGGCAAGTCTAGACACAGCCACTGTGTATCCAGCCTCTAGGATGTGTTGTGACTCAAGAGGTCATTCCTCAGCTCTGACTCGGGGAAGGTATTTCCTGCGACTCCACCCTGCCACACTGACTGTTCTAGGGAAAAGGTGAGGGGAGCTAGCTAAAAATCTTCCCCTTTGCCCCCTCACCTTCGTCTTCATGCCCTCCTCCACATCCACATGACTAGAACCATGGCTTCTGCCGACTCCCTCTTCATAGACTTGCAGGGGGAGGATGGTAGGGTACCCAGGCCCACACTAGTCTACCAAGTCCCTGCCCAGACCCCGTTGGCGGCAGGTGGCCCCCACCCCTGTGTCAGTGGAGAAACACGTCCAAGCTGCCTCACTTGCCAGTAGCACAACCGGACCACAGTCTGATTCCGCTGGATTATTTCCTACCTAACACTGCTGTGTTGGCACCAGGCTCCACCTCGCTGCTTGGCAGTTGGGCGGTGTCATCTCTGGTAACTCCTCAGAGCCTTCAGCCTCCTCAGGCAGTCAGATGTTAGTCTGCTCGGCCGCTGTCTGAAGAGGGCTCAGCTCCTAACAAAGATGCGAATTATCTTACCCATTACAAAGAGAGCTTCCCCAATTACCACAGCTAATATCATTATCTCGTAGACATGAACCTCCCCCCCATCTCCCTTCTGTTCTAAAATCTGATTTGTCAATTTTATATGTGTTCACTTTTTTTAATTGTATCCCTTTGGTATATATGGTCAGGCCGATTTTCTTCCACAATTTGATCTGAGGAAGTGGGTCTGGCCCACGAAAGCTCATCACCTAATAAACCATCTTGTTAGTCTTTCCAGTGCTGCATAGTCCTGACTTTTGTTTCACCAAGGCCAGACTAACACGGCTACATCTCTATTACTATTCTTCCTGGAACAGACGTCTATCTGCCTCCTTCCCTGTTTCAGCCACAGCTGAGTTACAGGGTCCTTCTTTTATGCTTCCTGTCCTCCCCCAGTACTACTGGAAAAGAAGGCTGGGCAGGTTTAACTCTGCGGAGGGTAGTGGTCCCTTCTTGTTGAGTCTAGAGATAGACTCTATCCACTTGGCCTCACGACACACATTACACTTGCCCTGAGAGCACTGGCTGGGTTGTAGCCCTGTGGCTCAGTTGTAGTTGATGACAGGAGGACTTTACCGGTGTAGGGGACTTGGAGAGGTGCATAGAGATGCCAAATCTAGCAGCCCCCTATGGCCAGCAAACGTGGGCTAGAGACATGGGAGAGGGACAGACTCTAAACACCCAGAATGATTCCTTTCTCCGTTCCAAATGTTTACGGCTTCTGATGCTTCTCCCGAGCGCAGGGTGTCTACTTCCAGGGCAGCAGGCTGCTGGCTGGCCGGTCATTGTGAATCTCAGAGCGTTTCCTCGGTAATTTCCAAGCAGGATCTTTGCCCCCTTCTGAGTTTCTCAGGTTTGTTTTTGTCATAAAGATCCCTATTTTTCTAATGAGCAGTTAATGAGCTGTCAATTACTTATGCAAATCAGGGGAGCCTGCACTGAGAGCACTCTGCACTTTATAGCGAGACTGAGACCGTTACTTCCAAACGTTTGGGAACAACTCCTTCCACTGCTAGGAATGCATCTCTCTTGTACTGTATACTTGTTATCTATGGCATTGCATTGGAAAAGTGCAGGGACAGCTCATTAGCTAAAATAATTAGCAGTATTAATAAATAATAATAAATCATTAACAACAGCAACAGTGAATGTTAACATCTTTCATCCAGGGATCTGAAATCAAGATATTCAGGTGATAAGTAACAGTCAGCGGGGATTGGCCAAGAGCAAATTGTGCCAAACCAACCTAATAGCTTTCTTTGACAGTTAGAGTGTTGTGAGCAAGACACAAGAAGTCATTCTTCCGCTCTACTTCACACTGATTAGGCCTCAACTAGACAACTGTGTCCAGTTGTGGACACCATATTTCAGGAATGATGTAGACAAAAATTGGAGAAAGTCCAGAGAGGAGCAAGAAAAATGATTAAACGTCTAGAAAACATGACCAATGATGAGGAAAGATTGAAAAAAAACTGGGTTTGTCTAGTCTGGAAAAGAAAAGACTAAGAGGGGACATAAATCTTCAAGTGCATATAGGTTGCTAGAAGGAGGAGGGAGATTAATTGTTCTCCTTAACTTCTGAGGATAGGACAAGAAACAATGGGGTTACGTTGTAGTTAAGGCTGGACATTAGGAAAAACTTCCTGTCAGGGTGGCTAAGCGCTGGAATAAATTGCCAAGGGAGGTTGTGGAATCTCCATCATTGGAGATATTTAAGGGCAGGTTAGACAAACACATGTTGGTCTAGACAGACAATACTTAGTCCTATCTTGAGTGCACGGGACTGGACTAAATGACCTGCCAATATCCCTTTCAGTCCTACAATTAATACTCCTCACAAAACGGTTATATTGGCTAAACCCAGAAGAAGTTGGGATTGGTCCTGCTTCGGGCAGGGGGTTGGACTCGATGACTCCTGATGTCTTTTCCAGCCCTGGGATTCTATAAACGTAATTAGAGAGAGAGACTCACTGAGGCACTCAAGGTGGTCGCTGAAATTTAAATCTATGAACAGATCCCCATCCTGTTATTCAAACAAAGGGCGTGGGGTTCGCTAGAAGAGATTAAAGCTAAATGTAATGTATATATCTATGGTGAACAGGTGCACTTAGTTAACTGTTTTACATGTCTGGTATACCGTTTGATACTAAATGTACTTAGAAGAGCTATACGGAAAGTATTACAAACAAATGAAAGGATACAACTGATCTACTGGGATGAACTAGGGAGCACATAAGAAAGTGCTCATGATGTCATGAAGAGCATAAATAAGATCAGTCATAGATTATAGATATCAGCCCTTAAGATCTGCATCCATATCGGAGCTTAAATGTTTGCACCAATTCAAGCTCTCAAGTGCTACAGATTACATGTGGTGCATTCCCTACTACAGGCAGTCCCCGGGTTACGTACAAGATAGGGACTGTAGGTTTGTTCTTAAGTTGAATTTGTATGTAAGTCGGAACTGGTACATATTGTAGGGGAAACTCTAGCCAAACATTTCTCCAGAGCTCAGTTTTATTCTCCCACACCTCACTTCCCTCAGTCCTTTATTTTCAAGCTGAGGTGTCTGCTGAGAAAAGCCACTCCGCGTCTCCCTGGTCTGCTGGGGGGGAGGCGCTAGCTTCGCGTCTCCCTAGTCTGCTGGGGGGAAGCAGCTAGTGCGGGGTTGCCTCACCCCGATTGTAAGTAGGGATCTGATGTAAGTCGGATCCATGTAACCCGGGGACTGCCTGTACACCACTGTGTGTAATGCTGCTAGCTACTGGAGAAATGCCTATCAGTTTAAGGCCTTGTCCATACTATCGCTAGCCGTTGACCTACATTACACATTTTCAGCTACATAAATAATGTAGCAGAAGTCGACATACTGTGGTCTGCTTACCATGGTATCGTCACAGCAGTAAGTTGACAGCTGATGCTCTCCCATCGACTTCACACACCCTTTCCGTTTTGCTGGAATAGCAGAATAAACAGGCAACCTCTCGGCAGTCAAATTATCTAGTCTAAACTAGACGCGATAAATCAACCCCCACTGGATTGATTGTTCCCTGTCGATCCAGTCTGTAGGAAAGACATGCCCTGAGAATGAAAGTGTTAGATCTAACATTCTGAGCTAATGTTAAGGGAAACAGAGCAGAAAAGACTAGTGGACAAACACACCTAGGTCTAGTAGATAGACATGTTATGAATAACGTTGCAGCTGTTATACAGAACAGTAAACTCACTCATGCTCCTGGGGTTAAATTGTGGGTAAAAGAGTTAAACGAAAAGGAAGGACTAGAAGACAGTAAGATCTATTGTTGTGGGATAGTAAATTATACCTGAGAAATCTTCTCTCCAAATGTGGATTTAGAATGAGATAATAAAATACAGGGGGAAAAGTCACACTGCATGGTAGATAACATTTGAGTAACATGGTAAATGGGGTTGTCATTGCCAAATGTATAGCGATGGATGAAAAAAAACAAAAACAAGAGTAGAGTTGGAGAAGCCTCTTGCATCCTGAGATGGGTGTTAAGAAATCTGAGGGAATATTTAATTTTTGTAGCCATTATGACAGCTGAATTGGTGGGAATAATGGTAGCACTGAACTGGATAAGGCATCTCCAGCCTACCGCAGCTGTTTGCTTTTCGGATTCATTATCAGGTAGGTTGGCAATTCAAGAAGAGTACCTCAGAATGCAAGAATGATCTAAAAAATGAAATATTGTTTCTGACAGAGTTAGTACACCGGGGTTGAATATAGTACTAGCATGGCTTCCAGCACATGCTGAGATACTTGGCAATGAAATGGCTGAGAAAGAAGTGAAAAATGGTCTAAAAAATGGAGAAATGAATGTAAAGATTCCTTTGAGTAAACAGGAATTATAAAGTTGAGTTAAAAAGGGGATGGGAAGAATTGGGGACCAAGGAGCAAAGAGAAAGGAGATTCTATGAAGGGTGCCCAAGAATAGAGGATAATGTGCTACTCCAAAGTTTTGAAAGGATCCCTGAAATGCTCATATTGAGACTATTAACTGGCTATGGAGGTTTACATACTAATTGGTACATATTGAAGAGACACAGAGCTGAGTTATGTAACATGTCCGGTTAAAGAAACAGGGATCAGCTGATATGGGAATACTGGGAGTGATCCAGGAAAGAGGCTTTTTCAGACAAACTTAGTAGTATACGCTGGCACTGTAAAACATCTAAGAGGCATTTAGTGTGAGTGTTGGGAAAAGGTAGGAGTAACACTTAAAAAGCTCTCTCATATTTTTTTAAGAGTGTTACAGCTTGAATATACCAGTAATGCTGTACCTCGTGGTTACAGACTTAGTAGGTGAATCTGCTTCACCATAAAGCACAAGATGAAGAAGACAACTTTTCACATGTGTGGGAGGTACTTTGTACTATTATTCCCATTGTAGATATGGGAAAACTCAGGCAAAGAGACAGGCCGTGGCTTATCCAAGATAAACTAAGTGTCTCAGGGGCAAAGATACTTAAAAGAACATTATTTTTCAGCTTTTTTTTATTACATTACAAATAAAACGCAGTTATCAAAGACATAGTCTTTACTTAAATGGATTTTAAACTGGATCCAGATAAACTAAATAATAAATATAGTTGTCAGAATAAGCTCTCAATTAAATCTACATCGAAAGGATTTTTCAATGGGTATGTGCATAAACAGATTAGATTTATAATGTGCATATAGAAAGGAAAATATGTAACAGCACACTGTCAACTTGTGGAACTCAATGCCCCAGGAAATCAGTAGTATTAAGAATGCAATTCAATTCCTAAGAACGATTTGATATTAGCATCAGTGAATCTCACACAGCTATACTTGTCATCAACTGGAGTAAAAATGTTACCAGTCACATCAGTTGTCATGCTGCAGCATTAAACAGGGTTCAAAGGGAATCCTACCTTCAATAATGAAGTATTCTACATATAGCTACTAGCAATTGTAAGGGAAAGTTATTTTGCACAGAAGCCCTAAACATAAGAATAGTTGACCAGTGATCTGTTTTGCATAGCAATGTCCATGCTTCTGCTATGTGGGAAGCTAAACGGGCCTTTTTTTTACTAGTTTATTCATAATATAAAGCTTCCTCATTTCTGGCATAAGCATACAAAAATATGTTCAGCAGCCTTTGGCACATGAAGTGTTAAACCGTTCCATGCTAAAGGTTAGTACAAGACTCGATAAATGCCTAGCTTAACAATGGAGAGAAACATTTTTATCAGTAACCTTTGGAGAAGCTAGTTTAATTGCATGCTAACAGACATTCACAGAGAGCTGCTAGGAGCTACATGGAGGGGGAATGACAAGAGTTTGAAGGGTTGTTAAAGTTTGAACCTTGGCTTTATGGAGTTTTACCTGGAGCATTGTCTGGGTGCCTGAAGCCAGCATGTATCTAGCAGCTGTGTGGACGAAAATCTGCTCATGCAGGTGTGATTGTACATTGCTCAGGTATGTGCCAGGCTGTAGCGTCTATGGCTAAAGTCTTGGGTAAAAACAGATACATGTGTGTGCATCTTAACAGGGGCTACGGTGGCAGTAGGTGACCTGTAGCAGTTGAGTAACAAGTCGTCAGTGTCAAGATGCTTCCTTAGAAGAGATCTATAAGCCCAAAGTAGCGACGAGGCAGCTTTTCTTTTCAGTGCTGCAACTGTTTTACACGAGACATGTGTGTGACTCTGTGTCTGGCAGGCAGGAAAGGTGTGTCACATGTATGGGGTGCGTTGGAAACTGGTTCGAGAACCAAAGAATGAGAGAGGAAAAGATCAAAGCTCTCAACCAGAGACTCCATCAGCCAGAGGCCAGTGTTAAACATCCACCAGGCATTGAATAAAATATGATTGGCCGCAGCTCTCCCCAACACCTGATCCATCTGCCTAGACTTCATCACCTGTCCCAGCTGGGAGAGTCATATTAGGGCTTGAGGTGGCGTAAGAAAACCCCAAAGATCTGGTCCACATCAAGAAAGACAGCCATGACATGCATGAAAGGCGTCTCCTTCCTTTAACCCAAGAAGTGAATGAAATGACCATGCAAACCAGTCCCTCGAGTGAAACATAATCACTCAGGTGCATTATTTACGAGGTGCAGCAAGAGCTGTGAGGGAAAGTAGAATCATAGAATCACAGAATACTAGAACTGGAAGGGACCTCGAGAGATCATCGAGTCCAGTCCCCTGCCCTCATGGCAGGACCCAATACTGTCTAGACCATCCCTGATAGACATTTATCTAACCTACTCCTAAATATCTCCAGAGATGGGGATTCCACAACCTCCCTGGGAATTTATTCCAGTGTTTGACCACCCTGACAGTTAGGAAATTTTTCCTAATGTCCAACCTAAACCTCCCTTGCTGCAGTTTAAGCCCATTGCGTCTTGTTCTATCCCCAGAGGCCCAGATGAACAATTTTTCTCCCTCCTCCTTGTAACACCGTTTTAGATATCTGAAAATGGCTCTCATGTCCCTCTCAGTCTTCTCTTTTCCAAACTAAACAAGCCCAATTCCTTCAGCCTTCCTTCATAGCTCGTGTTCTCTAAAACTTTAATCATTCTTGTCGCTTTTCTCTGCACCCTTTCCACTTTCTCCATATCTTTCTTGAAATGTGGTGCCCAGAACTGGACACAATACTCCAACTGAGGCCTAACCAGCGCAGAGTAGAGCGGAGGAATGACTTCTCCTGTCTTGCTCATAACTCACCAGAATCATGTTTGCTTTTTTTTCAACAGCATCATCCTGCTGACTCATATACATATTGCCATTGCTTCATTGGTCCCCATAGCCCATGCCAGAAACCAACCGCCTCGGATAATTAAATGACCCTTACACAACCCTCCTGGGGATTTAATTATGCCAAAGACTTTATACGAGTGCTAAGGGTTGGTGTTGCCAGAACATTTTCCGCCCCAGAGTTTCCAAGCCCGTTGCAAACTCTCATTAATCCTCAGAATCCCCCCGGGTTATGGCTGCGGTTATGTCCATTTTATGGGTGGTGGGGGGAGAAGTTGAGGTGCAGAGACAGGACGTGTGGTGGGCCAGGCTGCCCTGAGGGCTGGTGGAAGATGCCCATGAATACCTCATGCATCCTGACTCCTGCCCTGCATGTGCTCACACTGCTCAGTTTCTAGCCTAGCGTCCAGGTTGGACCGAGCTGTAAAGGTTGGTGCATGAAGGGTTAAATGATTCCCTGTTGTCCACCTGTGGTGGGCACAGATGAGTGCTGGCAGCGATAAGGCTAGTTACAGGTAGCTGGCCATCGAGCACCAACTCCTGCGAGCCATATAAAAGAAGAGGCTAGACTAGCATGCGGGTTCTTCCTCCTAAACAGGGATGGAGGCAGCGGGTGCACGGTTCTTACAGCTTCACTGGACAGAGGCTGTTTTCTTTCAAGGTTCTTGCCCAGTCTTTCTGAGTGACGTTACCTCTCGCAGACGGCGTGTGATCCACTTGACGGCTGGGGATGGTCTGTGGGAAGATGCTTTCCGTTTGGTTTCCTTGCAGCCCTTTCTCAAGGGCACTGAGTGAAGGGAGATGGTCCAGGTTGGCAACCGCCATGCTAGTGTGTGTGTTGTACAAACGCTTCTGAGGCCTGTTGCTTTCCCAACGACTGACTCGTCTTCCCCTCCCATTCTGTGCCTGCCCTTCAAAACTCTTTTCCTTTTATCCTCCTTGCTGCTGACCAGCCATTTTCAGCATGGCCCCTTCCGCTGAGCAGGAATTAAACATTCACTGACCAATGGCTTCTTTTAAAGTAACGCGTGAGCAGATATTTCATTGCATACGTTCTATGGCAGTACCTAGAGGCTCCCGTTGGGGAATTCAGGGTGCTGTTATACTGGGGCTAAACACCCATGAAACGACCAAAGTATTCTGCCTCCAGATAACTTAGATCTACCTCTTTACTGTCCTTTCCTGGGCACACGCTCAGTCCTACTGCGGTCAGACTGACCACCTAAGCAAGCCCATTCGGCAGAGAGGTCTCAAAACAAGGAAAGGAAGGATTGGTTAGGGCCAGAGCCGGGGAGAGAGAGTGTGGTCTAGTGATTAGAGAAGACC